TGACACAAGAATTTATAGAGGTTCAGCAATTGCCTACATCCTCTTGGTGATCCCCTTGAGAAATTCACTAATGAAAGAATAAGTTACAACTTTGGTTTACAAAGAAACCCCCTTAGAACTCTATTCTCTCCCCAAGCTCTCTTTTCTCTCTCACCCCTTGCTCTACACTTTGATACCCTTGTGAACACTTTCACAACCCTTGGTGTTTCCCCCCTTTGTGTCTAGACTCTCATGACTACAACACTTCCTCCCTTGATGATTAAAACACCCTTTATGGTATTACAATTACCCTCACCCTTTGTGAACTTAATCACCCCTTGGAGAATAAAGACCATCCCTTGATGAACTTAACCACACCTTGGTGAGATAACCTCCATTGGAACACAATAGCTCCTAGCTACTTGACCACCTGAGATTAACCACACCCCTTGAGGAATAAAGAGCACTCCCTTGGTGAACTAAGTCACCCCTTGGTGAACCAAGCCACCCTTGGGTGAACCTCATCACCCTTGGGCAATTAAGCCACACTTTGATACACTAGAGAACTCTTAAGCCATGATATTATTCTTACATGCTAAACCCCTTTATATAGCCAAATATGCAAGAGTGTGAATGCAACCTCACACTATTCAAATGTTGGCTACCAAACTTAACCATGGATGGCTACCAAACATTCCACCATTTTGTGCCACCAAACAAGTCACCTATTTTTGACAAAGATGGCAAGCCAATATTTACTCACATGGGCAACTCCAAAATTCTTCTAGAAATGAGTCAACCATGTCATGGAATTAGGTAGAAATCCATAGCACAAAAAAGAGGACTTTGTATCCTTAGGTGAGCCAAATTTCCAACAGCTAGATCATCATGGTTTTTTTTTTCTTTTTGTGTTGGGGAGGGTAAGTGGAAACAAAAGATACATGATGATAATATTTGAGATATTCTTACTTCTACATTAGTAGAGTCAATTCAAGAATAAAAAATGGCAAAGAAACGGGAATTGGAGGGCATAATAGACAACATGACCTCATAAATGTGGGAAAGGTTTCACAGGAATATGTAGGAAAAGTTTGAAACCCCATTAAAATGCATGTTTACTTCACATAGTCATGAGAGTAACTAGGACCCGGATTAGCAGCACCCTCAAACAAGTTGCAACATTTTTGGTAAAAAACCATTGGTAGGAAAAATACTAAAATAACTTAGGTTTTGAATCACATTCCTGTTATCTAGCTAATAAGACATAGGAAAGAGAAACAGTTAATACCGTCTGTGCTGCAGATGTTGGTGGCATAAATAATGTCAAGCCCCCATCAATGCAAAGCCGATTCCGGAACATCGTTGCTGGTCTTGGTGCAAGATATCTGTACTGCAGTCTACTTTTAGTTCAAACTTCATACATTAATCAACACAGCAGCAACTACCGCAGGACAAAATGGTAAATACAATAATCACCCTGGAATAAAGGAAGAAGTAAAAACTGCATCAATGAGATCCTCCTTAGAGTCAAACTGATCCACCAATAAACCCCTCGGTCTCCATAGAAGCTGTGTTACTGCAACTGTGGGGGAAAAAAAAGGAAATCATAAAGAAGCTGCATGCAGAATTCAAATGAAAACCCAGTTGATAATACAAAGGACATGCATAAAATTCCTGTTTTTCTTTTTTATTAAAAAATATTAATTTCAATAGCTAAAATATCCAGAAGTCTATAAGCTTGGGAGTTTTTTTTGGCAGACACAAAAAGAATCTCTTTCAGAAGATACAATCAATAAGGACCAGTTAACCATGAATTAAAAAAAATTTAAAAATTAGATGGGAAAAAGAAAACTTATATGGTTAAACAGAAATAACCAAGTGGTGAAATGGATCATCGCTATATGTTATAAAAGAAAGGTATTCAAACATGAATGAATTGAGAGTATAAAGTAATTATTGACCCACATCTTATTACAACTACTGCAAATGGCAGCAAACCAACCAATATTATCACGCTAACTAAGCTGGAGACACTGGGTTTAAATTCCTAAGACTGCAACCTTCCAATATAAGCTGAGGATAGAGGCTCACATGTGAGGAGTTAGATAGGGCAGACACAAAAAGAATCTCTTTCAGAAGATACAATCAATAAGGACCAGTTAACCATGAATTAAAAAAAAATTAAAAATTAGATGGGAAAAAGAAAACTTATATGGTTAAACAGAAATAACCAAGTGGTGAAATGGATCATCGCTATATGTTATAAAAGAAAGGTATTCAAACATGAATGAATTGAGAGTATAAAGTAATTATTGACCCACATCTTATTACAACTACTGCAAATGGCAGCAAACCAACCAATATTATCACGCTAACTAAGCTGGAGACACTGGGTTTAAATTCCTAAGACTGCAACCTTCCAATATAAGCTGAGGATAGAGGCTCACATGTGAGGAGTTAGATATATTCAGTGTGAGAGAATATTGAACTGAAACTTTGGGGGGTTTCTATACTCCAGATACCTTTTTCAAACTCCTTACATCTGTCAGTCATTACACAAACTTTGGGGCAAAATATTCATGTTAGGCGTGGGTGGTGGGAGTGCAAGAAAATATCTTGATTCATTGCTGTTTTTTGGATCACTTTATGTTCTTGTTCAGATTTAGCGGGTGAACAGCGACGGCAGCCACTTGTATTTGTGGTAACTCAATAGGACAGGACATCCACGGTTTGAACACCTCAAAAGTGGTAGGTCAAATTCCAACAATTTGAAAAAAAAAACATACCTACTTTTTCCACAAGCAAAAGATCACAGGACTGATGCTACCCAAACATCACATCACAGGAACCGATCCTACCCAATCATAAGCAGCACCAAATAGTCACACATTTGAAAGATCCCCATTGATACACATCTAAATACATGTACTTACAAGTTGTCAATTCATCTAGACAAACAATATTTATTGCATATGGACTTCAAAAATTAAACCAAACTCTAAAGAAGAAAAATAAATAAAAAGCCCATACACTTCTCGATTAGAAAACATTCTTTTTGAGTAGGGAACAAAAAAACCACTTACCTCGAACCCTCCCATTAGACCTAATATGAGCATCATCGGGCAAAAACTTTACTTTTTGGCGTCAACAGTTTGGCGCCGTCTGTGGGAAACGATAAAATCGACCTTTTATCCCAAAACTTATGGGGACCAACGCGAAAACCACATTCCTACCACAGGAGGGGATGCCGTTCGGCATGCCTAGTGGGGTTAGCCCAGCGCCACCCCCATGCACCCCGGCAACTAATCCTAGTGACTAGAGTTCATAGGTGTTCATATGAACTCCAAGACACAAATTCTGCAGTACAAATTATCCTAAGATTTAAGGAATTGAGTAAATCAATCAACAACAAGACAAACAAGGAAGTCAACTCCTCAATCAGAGTCAGTCTGAGACTGTAAACATCCATATTTCAACAAAGAAAAATGGAGAAAATGAGAGAAAGGAGATGGAAGAAATAGAACAAGAGGGAAAGATCTATATTCCAAAATAAGATCCGATTACCAGACATATATGTACATAGGCAATATAACAATAATGTTCTACCAGAATAATGAAAAAAATAAAATAATAACCCAAAAACGTTTATAAGTCAACATTTATTCAAATTTCAAATTCCCCCTTTCCTCTATTCCAAGATTTCTTAAATTAATTTCACATGGTTAAGGTTAATATACAAATGAATGGCATCAATGTAAAAGTAAAACTCCAGCCAGTATACACTTTAACTATGTTGATGATTACGGGTTTTTCTTCAAATCTTAAACTCATGACGTGGTTATGAAACTATTAATCTGGCATGATTTATTAATTATATAAGTCTTGGTGTATATATGTGCTAGGGCCCATCCACAGTAACTTACTAAGACACAACATATGTATGTGCACACGTATATCTTTGGTAGTCACTAAATTTCTAGCCACTCCGTGGGCAACATCGTTGTCCAGGAGTATTGAGTCATTCACTGTCACGGGCCTTCGTGCGGAGGCAAAGTAGGGCATCCATACTGGTGCCGCTGCTTGGCCCCATATCTGAGTTGGTGGAGCTAGGTTGAGATCCAATGAAAATGGGTAGGAAGAGGTCATTTGATTTTTTGCTTTGGTTTCTCACTTTCTTTTCTCTTTTGTGTGTTTTTCCCCTTCTTTCTCTTCCTCTTTTATAGACTTAGTTTCTACTTAACCCTAGCCACTGCGCTTTTGAGTTTGGCTCGGCCCTTACGGCTATCCTCCTCTATCCCCTCACCCGCTCCCCAACCCCTTTAATTGCATTTCTGCCTTTCAGCGCTTTCAAGAAACAAAAGTCATCACGGCTTCCTAAGAAGCCAATAATTCTGGCTTGGGAATGTGAGAGGGACCTCTGCTTGTCGACACGTCTCTCATTTTGTATCCCGTGACTCACAGGAGCCGAGACATCAAGGCCCACTTTTTTCTATTTTTCAGAATTCTCGCTCTTTGTGCTTCTGACAACATTTCTTTGTTTTAATTTTCTAAGCGTTTGGGCTTTCATTTGGGTTGGGTTTTCAATTGGTTTGGGCGTTACAGTGGGTTGGATTTCTTCATGCGTAGGACTGTTGTTAGGGCTTACTGTTTTGTTTTGTTTTTATTTTTGCAACTGTGTGCAGTTTTAATTCTTGTTTGTTCTTTTTTTTTTTCTTGCTTTAATCCCTTTATTTCTTGTTATAACATTGTTGATGTCTAAATTCTTCAACATTGAGGACAATGTTTATTTCTAAGTTTGGGAAGGGATAGCAAGTCTTTTTCGTTTCACTTAATTTCTTGTTTTCTTTTATTTTGTTTTATTTTCAGTTTTGAGTCATTTTTTTTTTCAAGTTACTTTCCGGACATATATGATGAGATTGTGATGAATGTTTACATGACTTGATTGAAGTTGTTAAAATATATATATATATATTATTCACTAAATGGCATCGTTCTAGCATGATATGTTTGAAACCTTCTATGCACTTGCCATTTGTTTCATAATTCTCCAGTTGAAGGACTTGCATGATCCAAAGAATTGTATCAAGCATGAATTATACTTGTATAACCATATAATGTGATCTTTGAGCCTTGTGCTTCAATTCGTGAGTGTTATACACATATTTTTATTTTCTTATTATCCGAGTTGTTGTTTGATCTCATTATTCATTGACTTGGTTGAGCACTTAAAAGACATTCATTCTTGTGCAATTTGATTACATGACATTTGAGAAATGATATTAAGGCCCTCTTTGAACCGTTTGTGCCTTTCAAGCTAACCGTATGCATGCTTAAGCATGATTTTTCATTGTAACCACTTTGATAGTATAGCATATGTAAGTGCGAGGTCGATTCCACGGGGATTGGTGATTGAATAATCCAATTCAGTTTTCCTACACAAAACAGAAAAACAAGAAAGAAAGAAAAGAAAATAACTCAAGCAGATAAGTTCCCAAGTTCAATTAGATTAACGGATTGATTCTAGCTAAAGTATGATTAAGCCATGATGTCTGGTCCTAACCTTGTGTTCCTAATTCCCTAATTTGATCATCTGTTGTCTAACCTAAACTAAGCATTAGGAATCCATTAAGCATAGAAGAACATTTTAAACAACCAAGTATGTATCTAATCCCTGTTGTCGAATGTCCATACATACTATTCCTATTCATAGTTCAATTCGAATTAAAGCATGGTGTCTACTCTTAATTCAAACCAAGATAGCTAACATGCAAGCCTAAATGGTGATCAATCATTCAAACTAGCATATTAACTTATAAGCATAATGAATAAGAACAAAAACCATAATTGAAACTTGGAAACTAATCAAACTTGAAACTAAAGAAAAGAATTTACATAACAATGAAAAGTAAAGTGGAACTAAGAAAAACTTAAGGAAAATTTCAGCACAAAGAGAAACTAAGAGAATTTGAGGGAGAGAAGGGAGGGGAGCGTTAGAGAAGTGTTTGAGAGCTCCCCCCCTTGGGGGTGTGTTTTGAAGCTTGAAGACTTCTCTATTTATAGGACTAAGAGGGAGGAACATCATGATGAATTCCAACATCACCATTCCTCTTTTAATACAATCCATAACTCCCACTTCATCTTGTCTATGTTAGTGTGGTTGGAATCAATCTCATCACATACTTCTTTTGCTGCACCTCAAGCTTTCTTCACATGGGATCAAAGGTGATCAATTGTGGCTGCCTTTTGCTGCCAACCCATGTGGGTTTTCTTTTGGTTGCTGGAAAAAAAGATTCTTCTGACCAGACTTGGTGTAGGAAGGCCTGAGGTTTCAATATGTATCTAATGGGGCTCAAATTTGGATATGTCATAATAGACACCCATTGGAACAACCTTTATGAAGAATGTATTCCCATCTGAGCAGTACAAGTGTACGTTTTGGGCCTTGCAAGTTGACTGCCGAAAATAGACTGGAATTGACACCAGACTTGGTGTAGGAAGGCCTGAGGTTTCAATATGTATCCAATGAGGCTCAAATTTGGATATGTCATAGTAGACACCCATTTGAACAACGTGTATGAAGAATGTATTCCCATCTGACCAGTACAAGTGTACGTTTTGGGCCTTGTAAGTTCACTGCCGAAAATAGACCTGAATTGACTTCATATCTTTACTTTCCTTTCTTTTTGGGCTTGATCTTCCCTCCTAAAAAATCTGGAAAAATCTGGATCTTGAAGCTCTTTGAATTATATTTCCAAGCATATGCAGCCCAACTAAAAAAAAAATCGGAAAGACCTTCAAATGTCATTTTTGGCCCAGTAACGCAGATGTTGCTGAATTTGACATTAAGCTGCCAAAACTTGCATAACTTTCTCTAGAAGACTCGGAATCATGAACCGTGAAATTCTCCAGAAACTAGACTTCTGCATCTTTCCAATGATATATGGCTCATCATCTGGTTTTTCTTGAGCAAGTACAGTCCAATCCATGAAGTTGACAGATTTGCACAACCGTTTTGAGCTAACTTGTCTCCAAAATGCATTTAATGAGTCTCAAGCTTATTACACTGAAACAAACACAAAACTTATTAAAAGCACAAGTTTAACTCAAAACATAACGAAATCATAAGTTAGAAGGATACAAAATGATATGTAATTATCCACCGATCAAGTTCTAACTTCTAACTTCTGAGAGAGAGACGAAAAGAGGGAAACAAGTACTTTAATGTAAGAGTGACACAATTGGTGGTAAGTCTTAACGGTATAGTTAAAAGACTTAAATTTGTAATCAACTACTCTTGAATTATCATAATTTCATAAGATGAAATGTGTTTTCAAACATTATAGGTAGTCAACCTAGTAGATCCAATTATTAAAGGTTTGACTAGAGAGTTAGTTGATCATCGAGGAGAATGGGTTTATAATCTTAAACTTATAAAGTCGTCATAGTAGAGACTTCACCTAACTGAATGGAGATCCCAGGATCTAGGTTCAAAAGGAGAACTAAATTATGGATGAATAATTAGTTGCACTGCGGAGATTATATCTCCTACCCCATGTCCTATGCTGAAACAATGATACCTGCTGCATGTTTTAGGATAACCTTTGTTTTAATGATTCCTATAGCTTGGACATCCAAGTGGGGTATAGCAATATACTCTTAATATACTCTTAATACTCTTAATATAGTTTGTCTAACCTCTAGCGGTGCTTTCCGGCCTCCAAGAGCAAGGATGGTTTCTCTGAACTTGTGTCCAGTTTCTTTAACAGCCTGTTGCAAGATTAAACATCATCAAGTGAATAGATCAAACGTGAAAAGAAGGCAGATGGCTTGACATGTTTGATGAGCCAATTCCAATGTCATAGTGTGTTCAAGCATGTAAAAAAAACCATGAGGTGAGCAAAGCCGCACTTTGAGGGGATACGATAAATATAAAAAATCAACAACAAAAAACACCCTTTCTATTTCCAGCCAGAAGAACTCTTCTTCCCATAAAACAATTTGCAGGCTTCCTCTTGTTCCAATAAACAAATTGCACGCTTCCTCTCTTCCCATAAAAAAATTTGCAAGCTTCCTAAGCCACCTTTCCGCTTTCCACCCTATTCGTCTCACTTTTTTTGGTCAATATCAGACCCTTCTCTCTTCTCCCTTCTCCCAAGCTCTCTTCACTATCAAATCCACAAAAAGCTCTCTTCAATATTTTATTTTCAGATTTTTTTCTTCACACGTTTTCTGCAGAGGAAAACTGTGAAATATTCTCTGAGGTTCTTCAATAATAATCCCAGATTTCGAATTTTATTTGCAATAGAGCTAGCCTAATGAAAGAAAGCTCTGCAAGGTTGAGGCTTTTTTTTATTACAAGCATAAAACAGGTTTTATGCTCCTTCTTTGTTGTCTAAATTTAATTTTTTATATCGGTTATTCATTGGGTTGTATTTGTTTGCTTTGTTGGTTATGTTTGGTGTGTTTATTTTGTTTATTTGTTGTCTGTTTCACTTTCAAATAAGCATATGCAAGAGACCCACTTCCTCCCCCCCTCGTTACCCCCAAACCACATCTCCCTCATCCCCTCCACATATTCACTCCACCATCCCACTTCCTTCTCTTTCCCCGTTGATGAAATTGAACAATTCTTTTTAAATTTCTCAAATCTCACCACCAAAGTACTTTGTTGTTTTTTATTTGGTTTTGTTAAAAATAAATAAATAAAAAGAGAGAGAGACAGAGTGGGGCAGGGGTTGGGCTGTGTCGTGAGTGGGTGGTTCTTTGAGGCGGGGATGGGGTGGGAAATGGGTGGCTTTGTCTGCGGCCAGTATTTGCTGCCACAAGTAGGTGGTGCAAGAATTAAATGAACAAAAAATGGCAGGTGCACAAGAAAGTGGAAAACTAGGACCAGTTTGGCATTGCTGTGCTGTGAAAATAATCGCTGTCAGATTTGCTGTGAGAGAAAACAGTTTGGCGTTTGGTAAACATTTTGTTAAAAATGTTATTGGTACTGATTCCCACATAATTAGAAAATGATTGCCGCATAATCATTAAACCCATCGCCTTTTCGAAATTGATTCCTGCATAATCAGAAAATGAAAGCACCTCATTAGCTGCTTTCCCTTATAGCTTTCTCTCATAGCAATTTTTAACAATAAGTGATTTTCTCATAGTTTACCAAACGGGCTGGGCTTCCCAATTTTTTTTTTTTAAAATCACTTATCACCCCAAATAAGCAATGCCAAACGGGCACTAAAGATTTTTGACTCTTTAGTTTCTGTGAAGGGTAAATTTGGAAATACATAATATATTTTCATAATTAAAAATATGGGAAATTTGCATAAATACCACATGAATTTTTAGGTATGTGCATGATTACCACCTACACTATTAATTTTTACTATTAACCACCTAAACTATGTAAAGTGTTGCAATTTACCACCTACACCTAACTCCGTTAAAATTTCCGTTAAGTCATGTCACAAATTGCATATCTGTTATTTGCTAAAGGATAATTTTGTCAATTCAGTATAATTAACAATATTAGAAAAGAAGAAGAAATAACCTAATTATCCCACCTCTCCCACCCCTTCTAACAACTTTTCTCTTCTACTTCGCAGCAGCCTCCTCCCCCACCTCAAAACCCATCGCCTCACATCCCTTCTCCCTACCCTCTAACCCTTTGCATAAAAACTCCTCTCTCTCTCTCTCTCTCTCTCTCTCTCTCTCTCTTGAATTAGTCTCGGAACGTTGATGATTCCCTCCTGGTTCTCTACCTTTAGAAACCACAAAAAACTCACATTCACTTGTTACCTAATGAAAAAAAAAATCCTTATACAGATCTATTTGATATTAAAGAAATGTATCAAAATCTTCCTCTAACCCTTTGCATAAAAACTCCTCTCTCTCTCTCTCTCTCTCTCTCTTGTGCAGTATATATATATGTATGGTGAATGGTGAAAGTGCAATTTTGTGATTTGCCATATCCATGGACTCATATGGCCTTTTATATATGTGAGGTGAATGGTGAGAGTGCAATTTTGTGATTTGCCATATCCGTGGATTCATGGCCTTTTATAATTTTGTAGGAAGATTTTGATACATTTCTTTAATATCAAATAGATCTGTATAAGGATTTTTTTTTTCATTAGGTAACAAGTGAATGTGAGTTTTTTGTGGTTTCTAAAGGTAGAGAACCAGGAGGGAATCATCAACGTTCCGAGACTAATTCATCCATGGCGGTGTGAGACTAATTCATTTAATTTGGCCATCAATTCTTCAAAAACCGATAATAAATCTTTTTGGCTTTGGTTGAGATATGAAGTAAGGATGGGAGTTAAGTGGGAGGGTAGGGGACGAGACTACTAGGTGGGCAGTGGGGGAGGTTGTGAGATAACTAGGTTGGTTTTTCAAAAAAACAAGAAAATTTTATTTTAGTTTTAAAACGTTTTTTAGTTATAAATTAAACTGAGTTAACGGAAAATTTAATGGAGTTAGATGTAGGTGGTAAATTTCGACATTTTACAAAGTTCAGGTGGTTAATAACAAAAATTAAAAGTTCAGGTGGTAATGCCGCACATACGTAAAAGTTCAGGTGGTATTCATGCAAATTTCCCTAAAAATATTGTTTTGAGTGAATAACATATGTAGAGAAGGTTGTTAGCATCCCTATGAAATTATTCTATTTA